TGTGAAGCTGCTCCGTGAAAACGTGAGCAGACTGGGTGTGCTGTTTTAACAACATGGAGAGGACACCCTATTTTCCCCCTATGCCTTAGGTTAGACTGCAGTCCAGGGGTCAGCAACCTTTTTCAGCCGTGGGCCGGTCCACTGTCCCTCAGACCATGTGGTGGGCTGGACTATATTTTGAAGAAAAAAAGGAACGAATTCCTATGCCCCACAAATAACCCAGAGATGCATTTTAAATAAAAGGACACATTCTACTCATGTAAAAACACTGATTCCCGGACCATCTGCAGGCCGAATTGAGAAGATGATTGGGCCGCATCCGGCCCCCAGGCCTTAGGTTGCCTACCCCTGCTGTAGTCTAACTGCTTGATCAGCTTGTGTTGCATTTGACAGGAACTTGGTATGCAGCAATTAGGAAGTAATAAAGTGTCTCCATGCTATGAAAATCTTCACCTACTGATTTCTACATATCACACTGCTGCTGAAGGCATAATTACAGAAGCCGGAAAAGTCAAAAAATTGGTGACCCTCTGCAGGTGAGCCAATTGAAGTGAGATCCAGTCAAGACAAGGGACCAGTAGCCTTTCCCCTTTGGCCTTTTATTTTCATGAGAGGGAAAAAGAACACCCATATTTTCAGGGCTGTGAAAATTCCAGCATGCTCAGTTTAGCACATGCATTCCCATTTTCTATCCCTAAGATTCAAGAAAACCAACATAGTGGGGTTGGATAGTCACAGAAGCTTAATGCAGGAGCCAGCCTTGGCCCGGTAATAAGGGTGCATGGATCACCAATAAAGAAATGAAGGCATATGAAGCAAGATACCCTTTCTAGAAAGCGAGAGTGACTGAGCTTAGTCGTGGGCTTTATTGGGATTCATGAAACTTTCCAGTTCATCGGCAGCATCAGATTTCAATTTCGGTAGCTGAAAGAGCAAAAATCGCCAGCCATCAGATAAATTTAAAAAATGATTCCTACCTGCCCCCCTTCCAGTGGGGCTTGTAGTTTAATTATTTTATTAATGTCAAGCCTTGGAAGGGAGAAATCCCGCTTCAGTAATATTAATCTTCAGTGCCAAGGTTCAGTGAATCTTCCGGATAAAATCTTGCTGACTTCTTGGAGAATTTGGTCATTGGAATCCACACGTATTAAGATGTCGAATCCAGATACGGCAATTAGCGTCCTGAAAGCAGCTCATTAAGACCTTGACCTGTTTCAAATTTTGTCCTTTGAAGCTATCTGATTTGCTGAAAAGACCTTAGAGGAAACCTCTTAAATTTTTACAAAATGCTGTAAGCAGGAGGCGGTGGAATGGACAGTAGCCTGGCTTCTTATTACTGGGCAATAAATCCTTGTGCAACTAGACTCTGTGCAGCGACAATGGGTGCACAGATTGGTAGAGCAACTGGAGGAAGGGAGAGGGTGGAACAGCGTCAGACTCATAGAGCCACCATCCTGAAGCTTACCTGGACAGTACAGTGCTGAAGTTGGCTGCACCTTGGGATTGCTAGATTAGCTCTGCCAGTGTCCAGACAGCCCCCTACCTTGCTACCCCCCTGCCCCAGCCTAGGCCCATTTAGGGGAGCTGCAATGATGCCAGTGTCTCACTACACCACCATTGTCTTTTGCATATTAATTGGGCAAGTGGGAGGAAATGAAACCTTCTTGAAAATTCGTGGGAAGGGGCAGAGATATCTCTGAAATGTTCGGGAGCAGGTTACAGTTCACATTAATTCACAGTTTGAGGTGACCAGGGCTTTTCCTTTTCTTTCTCTTGCTTTTTTCACTTTTTAAAAAAAAAACGCGCAGTTATCCAAGGCTGGCTCCACAATTTCCTGCTGATCGCATGTCTTAGAGTGCCTTGGCTTGTGTAATGAGCACCATGAGTATTTGCAGAAGCCAGGCCCTGAGCGCTGTGAGGAATTGCAGGGACCAGGCCCCGGCCAGGCTTCCCTTGGGGGAATTAAGTGTTGGCTGGCAGGCATGGTCAGATGAGGTGATGTGTTGCACCTAGAGGCAAGCTCAGGAGGACTATATAAAGCTGCATGTCAGCTTTGACTTGCCACAGCAAAGTGGTTTCATGCCATGCTGTAGCCAGTTCCAGTTCCAATTCTCTTGCATCCTGGCCTTCTCTGGTCCCTGACCTCCATTTGACTCGTTCCTGACTGTGAACCCACCACTTGGACTGCTACCAGCACCACCGCTCATAATCAGGTCCCAACGTGTTGGTCCAGGACTCTTGCCACCCACACCCTGGACAGCTAGGGAGAACCACTGTATGTGGGGTGGCCACTGGGAAGTAGCACAAGGCTTTCTCCACATCTTCCCACCTGCTGAACTTCCTGGCAACATCCAGATCGGCTGCAACCTGCTTCTAAATTGTCAGAGGCCAAATGGGTTCATGGAGCAGCTCCATCCATATGTAAACCCCCCCCCCAAAAAAAACACACGGATTACTGTTTTCTGTTTGACTAACTGCAGGTCACTGTGGAGTGTCTCTGCCCCAATGTAGATGTTCCTGCTGCCATGTCTGCTACTGCCCCCTATCTAAGATAAGAACCATGTTATCACATTGCATCCAAAAACAGAAGTAAAACCCCAAGGAGAAGGATTCTGTTCAAATTCTAGTTCATCCCTTGAATTAAATGAGTTGGAGTTACTCAAGAATAATCAGGAGCTAAGACAGAAATGGAGTACCTCTGGTCCATAGGTCAAAAGGACTCTGGTGTTCTCTGTAAGTCATACACTAGGCCACACCCTATTCTCCCTCATCATTTCCATGTACTGCTCATCTGTTCCACTGTATATCTGAAGAAGCATCACCACCCCCATTGTTTGGCCTGGACACTGAGGTCTACCTCTGAGGACCTTCTGGCAGTTCCCTCACTGAGAGAAGTGAAGCTACAGGGAACCAGGCAGAGGGGCTTCTTGGCAGTGGCACCCTCCGTGTGGAACACCCTCCCATCAGATGTCAAGGAGATAAAGAATGTCACAACTTTTAGAAGACTTTTAGAAGACATCTGAAGGCAGTAATGTATTGGGAAGGTTTTATTATGTTTTTATATGTTCTGGAAGCCACTCAGAGGGGCTGGGGAAACCCAGCCAGATGAGTGGGGCATATTATTATTATTACTATTATTATTATTATTATTATTATTACCACCTCTATAACGGAAGTTAGCTAGACACGGTAAAAGGCAACACATAGCGTGGTCATTCTGGGTGTGCATGTGTGTGAACATGTTACGTAGGTGTGTGCGCATACGTAAGGGCTTTGCATGTATGTTCTGGCCAGCCCACTTTGAGTTTTTGCCATGCTGGTGCGAGGCCCCTGACCACTTTCCCCCAAAGGAAAGGTGGATCTCATTAGCAAAAGGGTTGCTACCCTAGCCCTCAGGCAAGCTAGAAACAGAAGGAGAGAAAAGCCTTTGTGAGCATCTGTATGTGTAACCACCAAGTAAGATTATGGTTAAATAGGCTAAGCATTCTATATGAGCTAAAGGCTGTGCCTGCTGTGCTGTGCCTTTTCACAGTTCCACAATCTCAGCATTTCAATTTATTGTGCAATAATTAGATACCATTGTTGGTTGAAATAAAGGAATCAGAGCCCAGTAATTACTTCACTGTAAAATGTAATGAGTTTTCGAGTACTGGCTTACTGTAAAAATTGCGCCATAATAAATAGAATGCAGTTTTCTAACAATAAACTAGCAGTGAATTCTCTTAGTGTATTTCTTCATGAAACATGTTTATGTGATAGTCTTCCAATTTTATGGCTGAAGTTTATCACTATAAGGTGCATTTCATGACAGCCGAATAACTACATTCAGTTAGACATGTCACCATGTGCCTTCGGTATCAAGACACATGCTGATTGTATCAAATACTGTTGACTGTCTTAGTGCTGCAAATAGAAAAGATGATTACATTGTTCTTTTTAGATGTGATGTAATATTATTCACATTGCAAGGAAGTAAAGGTCAAGGTTGTCTAAGGAACACAGGATAGATTGGCTGTTGAAAGCTTGGTAATGTGTTGATAACACACTAATAGACTCAGACCTAGTTTTACATGAATGTTTCTGTGATTTCTTACACAAGAGGCAGTATTTGGGTATTGGTGAAAACCAACCAGGGTACTAACTAGATCTGTGAAAACAGAACAATGCCTAGCAGCCAATTAAAATTTTCATTGGTCTGCAACACAAACAAGAACAATGTGGGTGAAATTATATAGCCCAGGAATAGGTTGCATAGGAAGTCCCTTAAAAACACAAGATGTGGAATCAGGTGAACATAACAAAGTAATAATAATAATAATAATAATAATAATAATAATAATAATAATATTGATTCCAAGGAAAACAGGAAATCACAAAGTTTCCAGCTACTCCTTTTCAGACACCAAACCATGGTAACAAAATAAGAAATACAATTCTTCAGATTAGATTTTAGGAGGAATGAAGCAATGGATAAGAGCCAGGGGCAGTATCCAGAATCCTTGCCCACCTGACTAGCATTTTAATTTTCCCACAATGCCCTGGAAAACCTGGCATGGCATAGGCACCATCTATGGGGGGGCCATGTGGGCCCGGGCACCCAGAAATTTTCAATGAAGGGGCCGGGCTCTCCAAAGTTCTACATGCCGGCATGCGCACACCATGGGGCATGCCAACCGCACAAGCGCATGCCACAGTGACGTCAGCACGCCCCGGGCACCTGTGACATAGTGCCCCCCTGAAACATTGTAGGGAAGTTTAATATGGTGGGTACAATGCTTCCAGAAGAAGAAGAAGAGGAGTTTGGATTTGATATCCCGCTTTATCACTACCCAAAGGAGTCTCAAAGCGGCTAACATTCTCCTTTCTCTTCCTCCCCCACAACAAACACTCTGTGAGGTGAGTGAGGCTGAGAGACTTCAGAGAAGTGTGACTAGCCCAAGGTCACCCAGCAGCTGCAGGTGGAGGAGCAGGGAATCGAACCCGGTTCACCAGATTACGAGACTACCGCTCTTAACCACTACACCACACTGGCTCTCTCTCCAGGGAACACCATGTCAGGTTTTCCAGGGCATTGTGGGAAAATTGAAAGAGAGCCAGTGTGGTGTAGTGGTTAAGAGTGGTAGACTCGTAATCTGGTGAACCAGGTTCGCGTCTCCACTCCTCCACATGCAGCTGCTTGGGCTAGTCACACTTCTCTGAAGTCTCGCAGCCCCACTCACCTCACAGAGTGTTTGTTGTGGGGGAGGAAGGGAAAGGAGAATGGTAGCCACTTTGAGACTCCTTAGGGTAGTGATAAAGCGGGATATCAAATCCAAACTCCTCCTCCTCCTCCTTTTTCTTCTTCAGCGAAGAGAGATCCCTTTCTCCCCATTTGTAAGGGAAAGCAAGTGAGCTGCTAGAGGAGGAACATAGAGTTCTCTTCCATCTTCTGCAGCTGACCCCATTTCCACGCTGAGAGGAAAGAAGAGAAGACTTTTCCCCCTATCCAGCAAGGAAGCTCCGTCCTCTTCTGTTCTTCACTTCCCACTGCAGAACTTTCAAACTGAGATAGACTAGGCTGTCTGCAAAAGGTAAACGTAGCCAGTTTGAAGGATGACAGGATAAGGAAGATTGCTTCTTTTGATGAGGGGTTTCATTAAACTGTTGTGGTTTCCCAAAGGAAAGAGAGAGACAGAGAGAAAGAGAAATGTGAAGTCACATAGCTACTTACCACAAGCTGAAATGGAAGTAAATTATGAACCCGAAACAGTTTTTGTAGTAAATAATAGAATAGTTCTCAGATAATTGATTGTGCTAATAAGAAGCTATACATTTCCTGCAACAATACCATTGTAGGACATGAAAATAGGTAAGTCCTAGACCTGGCAACCATCTTTCCATGACACCTTTGCTTATTCGGATTCATATTCAGTATATTGACTCTCATCCAGCCCATCACTAGTAGTCTTCTACTACCATTTTGACTTGACACTGAGAGCCAGTGTGGTGTAGTGGTTAAGAGCGGTAGTCTCGTAATCTGGTGATCTGCTGGGTGACCTTGGGCCAGTCATACTTCTCTAAAGTCTCTCAGCCCCACTCCCCACAGGGAGTGAAAGGCGGGATATCAAATCCAAACTCTTCTTCTTCTTCTTCTTCTTCTTCTTCTTTTAATTTGAACAGGACTTCAGTTAGAAGACCTAAAACTCTTCCTTCTTGCAACACCAAAAGTGAAAATGAGACATAAACAACCAAATTTGCTCTGGATATGACAAGACATGACACTGTTCTGCTGAATGAGTGCATTCCACAAAATGGCAGTTCATAGACTCTGTTCCAGGATGAAGTCAGGTTGACAGGTTATAGAGCAGAAGGAACTAATTTGATAAGTACATTAGGACCTTTTTGCAAAAGAACGAAGAACGTATCTCATCAGCTAGCACTGCCCTTTCTCTGTACGCTTCCATATCTGTGCCATTGAAACTCTGCCTGTTTCAACAAACAGAGAATATGATCTTGGCTTATTCCAGTTTTATTTCCAAACAGTTTTCATATTCCATCTCCTCCTAAGGAAATCTGATAGCCAGAACCGGCGAGGCTTTCAAAGGAAACACCCAGCAGGAAATACAAATCTCATTTCTAGCTCTCAGCGCTAAATTATTGTTATAGGACGTTCACATTTACAGCAGCAAACATTGCATAACAAGGCAACATTCATCTGTCCTTTAGTATTCCGCACATTCCCACTCTATTGCCTATCTCGCCATACTCCCTGGATCATATAATGTGCAGTCCCGCTTACTGAACACACCTAATATTATTTCCTGAATTTGCTATAACTATTCAAATGGAGGATTGAAAAGACAAATGGCCCTTCATTGTGAAGTCTTAAAACAAAACAAAAGGCACCATATTGCCACTTTAGGGACCCATTTGTTGCCTGCTGATGCTATTACACATGTCATTTCAGCCCTGCCGTTAGCCATAAACCACATATTTTCCTTTCTTTTTCCCAGGGAGAAATAGGTGCCTGAAGGGAAACAAGAATGGAAAGCATCTTTAAAATGACTGATTTACAATTGGCAAGGAGATACAATATGAAAATTATAGCCTTCTTATTGTGAGTGTCACATTCCAAGCTCACTCAGGGCTCCTGCATTAAGAGAACCCCACAGGCCATCTGGCTGAATAAGGCTGCATGACGTGAAAGCTTTCTATGTGGCAGAGTTGGGAATAGCATTCTGTGTTAGTATGTCAAGGAATAAAAAGGGTGGGAGGAGAGAGAAATTCAATCTTAATATATTACATATATCTTCTTTAGATCCTTCTCATAAGTTGGTCAGAGAGGACCAGTATTCTTCAGTGGTCTGTTCTGTAGCTTACAGAAGGCTCAGAAAAGTAAGGCCTTTTCTTCTGCTACCAGTGGTGCCCATTGGGACTGGGGGCACTGAAAGCAAAGAGCCCAGCGGTAGGTGGGGCCAAAACCAATGATAGACTGAGCTAGAGCCACTGACAGGCAGAACCAACTAATTCTATTATTTACTTTTTTGTGAATTTTTTTGTTTTGTTTTACAAATACAAAGTACAAATAAACACAAACTAATAATAGGTAAAGGTAAAGGGACCCCTGACGGTTAGATCCAGTCATGGCCGACTCTGGGGCTGCGACGCTCATCTCACTTTATTGGCCGAGGGAGCCGGCGTACAGCTTCCGGGTCATGTGGCCAGCATGACTAAGCCGCTTCTGGCGAACCAGAGCAGTGCACGGAAACGCCGTTTACCTTCCCGCCGGAGCGGTACCTATTTATCTACTTGCACTTTGATGTGTTTTCGAACTGCTAGGTTGGCAGGAGCAGGGACTGAGCAACGGGAGCTCACCCTGTCGCGGGGATTCGAACCGCCGACCTTTTGATCGGCAAGTCCTAGGCTCTGTGGTTTAACCCACAGCGCCACCTGCGTCCCTTAAACTAATAATACATATCTATATATAGAGATTCTCCAAATCTTGGGACTCCCCCCCCCCCCTTGGAGTTTAATTATAAACATTGGCAACTGCATATTCATCCTTACTCCTATTTTTATATCAAACCATATTGTCCATAATAATTTTTACACTACAAGTGAATCAAAATCCTGTTCTTGTTTCCATCCGCTTACAGTGGTCTCCTAAGTAGCTTACATATTTTTCCCATTCTTTTAGTTAAAGTTTTTATCCTCTTGGTTTCTGAGTTTTCCAGTCAGCTTTGCCAACTCAGCATAGTCCGTCAGCTTGGTTTGTCATTCTTCTCTGGTAGGAACTTTGTCTTCTTTCCAACTCTGGACTAATAACATCCTAGTGGCTACTGTTCCATACACGAAAAGTATTTTCTGCTCCTTTGGTATGTTGGCACCTATAATTCGTAATAAAAAGACTTCTGGTTTCTTAACAAAAGTTACTTCAGCATCCCCCCCCCCCATTTCTTTATATATCATCTCCCAAAAAGCTTTTAGTACCTTACAAGTCCACCACATATAATAAAAGGTACCTTCTTTTTCTTTACATTTCCAGCAGATATTTGAACTTGTCTTATACATTTTTGCTAATTTAGTGGGAGTCAAATACCATGGGTACATCATTTTCATAATACGTAATTTTATTTCAATGTACAACATGCCGTAAAGTTCAGATCTGATTTCGATAGCCTTTCCCAACCTGTCATCTGAATATTATGTCCCAAATCCTTTGCCCAGTGTATCATAACCAACTTGACCTGTCAGAACTGACTACAGTGGTGCCCCGCAAGACGAATGCCTCGCAAGACGGAAAAACCGCTAGACGAAAGGGTTTTCCGTTTTGAAGTTGCTTCGCAGGACGAATTCCCCTATGGGCTTGCTTCGCAAGACGAAAATACCTTGCGAGTCTTGAGATTTTTTTCCGCTCCCCCTTTATCTAATCTGCTAAGCCTTTAATAGCCTTTAATAGCCTTTTAGCAGCTAATCCCCTAAGCCTTTAAGCCTTAATAGCCGCTAAACCGCTAATAGCGCTAATAGCGCTAATCCGTCAATGGGCTTGCTTCGCAAGACGAAAAAACCGCTAGACGAAGACTCTCGCGGAACGGATTAATTTCGTCTTGCGAGGCACCACTGTAATTCTAGTTTCGTGCTCACCCTCCTCTGAAGGCGATACTATGGAGAAAGAAGCTGAGAGCCAGGACTAGTTATAAGTAAGAAGACAGGCAGGTGGGGGCAGATTGAGGTTAGTGGGGCAGTACCCCATTTGCCCCAATCAACCAGTCCTCTCTTCCTGCCAGAACACTCAAGAGAACAGTCAGTGTTGGCTCCAGATTTTGGAGGGCCTTTGGGCAAGACATCCTCCATGAGCCTTCCTTCCGCAGTAGGTTTGCCTACTCTCTGCAGCAAGTGCAGGAGGCTATTGCCAGTGAACATCTGTTGAGGGGTGAGACTTCAGCAAATGTCCATCTTTTGTGGATTGGCTGGATGCAGAGAAGTGGTGGGTGGCACCAGCTGGGGAACCCCCAGGGGAAGAAGGCTCAGAGCCAGGGGATTGGCGATGGGATGCCAATGATTGGTCAGAGAGAGAAGAGGGAGCAGATTGGGAGGAGGAGGTGTAGGAAGCTGAAGAGGGAACAGGGTTTAGTGAGCAGGAAGAGGCTGTGGCAGAAGGCAGTCCAGAAACAGTGGCAGAAGCAGAGGCTGGAGAGGAATGGGGGAAGGCTGCTGCAGAAGCCATGGAGTCTTCCCCTCCTGTGCAGATCCCCTTCCCCCTAGTCTCCTAGAATACAAAGAAGAATGAAGAGGGTGGAGCAAAGAGAGACAAGATGAAGGAGGCTCAGGTTGCTGGAGAAAGACCCAGGGGAGGAGTCTTAGAGAGCAGTGGGAAGACAGGGACCTTCAGCCCCAGCAACTGCCTCATTGGGGCAAGACCTACTGAGAAGCTTGTTGTGACCACTAGGACTGAGTTGTTTTGGTTTCTTTGAAGAAAGAGTTAACTTCACTAACACCATGGAGTTTTATTGCTGACCTGATTCTGACTCAGGCTCCTGACACCAACCATATCAACCCTTGTTGCTGGCTCTAACAGCAGGAATAAGGTTTACCTCTTTGGGTAGATGTGAACCAGGCTAGCAGAGATGATGGAGCAAAAAC